GTCGGCGTCTCCTCCGGGAGTCGCGCCGCCCGTGCTGGGGGCTCGGTTGGCCAGGCGAGCCTTACTTCAGGGGTAGGCTGGAAGTGCGCTGCTTCCATTTTCTGCCTCCCCACGCAGCGCCTGACGCACAAATCTTTTCCGCAAGCCCGCGCGTAAGATGTATGAAAAAAGAGGAGCGCCTCAGTTGACAGGGAAATCATCCGTATGGCTCGTAAGCGTAGTTGTAGCTAGACTTCAGGAGACTTCAGTGAGTGCTGTAACACTTCACTATGTTGTAGATAACTATTAACGCACTCTTATCTTTGTGTTGTTTTTTGTTTTGTTTTGTTTTTTTCCCTAGTTCTCTTTTAATATGTTTGATCACCCCATCCCTCGGGTTTTCCAGAACCGCTTCTCAACGCAATACCGCTGCTTCTCAGTATCCATGCTTGCTGGACCTAATGACAGGTCAGATGTGGAGAAAGGCGGGAAGAGTATGTGCATGTTTTATTTTGACTAATAACCTGTTGGAAGAGTGTGTGTGTATAATACAAAGTAATACAGCTTTTGGCCAAGACTGCAGAAAAGTTGTTGAACGTGGAGACATGCTGTCGGCTTTGTGGCTGGAGCTAGGAGTGCACCCTGGGTGGGGCTTTAAGAAGGAAGGAGGAGGGTTTTACCGCATTAGAATGTCATTAAAAAACTTACCGAGTGAGTCCTGGTTTGTGAGCAGTAGAGGAAGACATTCTTTTTTAAAGTCTCTTGTTAAAATCTTACGCCCATTATGGGCCGTGCGGTTTTATGATGACTTTTTTCCCCTCCTTGATGTACCTTACTTAGTTTGCACAAAGAGAATAGATCGGCCGACTTAATTTTCAAGCTGTCAGACTAATGCAGTATTGTTTTGAGTAGACATCGATTTAAGAGTACCTATAAGTCAAAAAAATTAAAATGACCTTTAGGAAACATTTTCTTTAGCACTAAGTATTGTAGAACTTTGTATTCCCTTTTTTTTTCTAATGACATTTTGAAATTTTTGTGCTGGCAGGTATACCTGCCATGACTGATTTTACTGAAATCTCTGGCTCAAAAATGAATTTACAGGAGATTTTAGAATCTCCTTTTTTTTTTTTTTAGAAGAGATTATATAGAAAGGAATTATAAAGTTGTATGTTATGTTCACTTTGTAAGTCATACTTTCCCTAATCTTACATTCTTATTAATTTTTGCAGTAATTATGCCACCATCGGCTTTGGATCAACTCAGTAAGTGAATGTTTTATTCTGGGATAACAACATTAGAAATATGAGCAAATACCATGGTATTTCAGTTATCTGTTAAAATCTTACTTAAATAGAGAATGTGAGACTAATTAGTTAAAAAAATGTACTCTGGAGGTATTTTGACTGTCAGAATTAATGGGGCTTGTCTGTCTTTATCTCTGAAGTGTTGAGCTGCATGAGGCGTCAATTGGTATTTATGAACTATTAATAGCATACTCAGTATAATGGTAACAGTCTAATAAATTCTTAATATCAATCTGCTTGTTCTGAACGCTGTTGTTTGGCGCAAAATTTAATTTAAAGAAAAAAATGACAGTTATCTTTGAAATGGGGAAAAAGATAACTAAATTAATAGTATAAATGGTGGTTTTGGCTCTTTTAAGGGTGTCCGTGTCCTGTTCCCCCTTTGTCCTTAATATATTGATTTTTTTTTTTTAATAGGCAGGGCATGCTGAAATTCATTAGGTAGGAGCTGACTGGTAACAGCACAAGGACATAACAGTAATGGATTCCTCTGCTAATACCCAGTGCTTGCTAATCTCTGAGCGTGGGGAAGTGTTGAGAAAGGCATTTAAAGCTCTAAGTGCAGTGGCAGTACAGTATTCGTGTATCTGCATTCTCTCCTGGATTTGTAGTTTTGAAGAGTTTGAATATTGGTGTGAGGAGAATCTTCTCCTATAGTTTGACCCATTTTCTTACTAACGTTCAAACGCTGAAAGCTTCAGAAATGTGCTAATGGCTTTTAACAAGTACATTTTTTTTCTCCTTTGTCACTAGGCCGACTTAATATTACGTACCCGATGCTGTTTAAGCTGACCAATAAAAATTCAGACCGAATGACACACTGTGGAGTCCTTGAATTTGTGGCCGATGAGGGCATATGTTACCTTCCACATTGGGTGAGTTGTCTCATGCTGAACTCTCAAAACCTGAAGAGTAGGATTATTGAGTTGTCAGTTTAATATTAAAGAGGTGGAATGTTTCCTGAAAGTGTGTGCCTTTGCTATTCAGCAGCATTCAGTCACAGCTCAGGTTTCCCTCCACGAGAGTTTAACTAACTAAGCAAAGCAGGCTGCTTTTTAAGATGCACTTTACTGTTCTTCCAGAAATTAAAACATAGTAAACTGGTGCATTTCAGGGAAGATAGTGGCCCTAGCAAAAATAAGTATACTCAAGGAAAGAATTAGAAACATCAGTCTTGTTGATAGTGATTTGTATCTTTGTATTCATTCTTGCAGATGATGCAGAACTTGCTGCTGGAGGAGGGAGGCCTGGTACAAGTGGAGAGTGTTAATCTTCAAGTTGCTACTTACTCAAAATTCCAGCCACAGAGTCCAGATTTTCTTGACATCACCAATCCCAAAGCTGTGTATCCTTCCTATCAATTACAGAGCAGAGAACAAAAGTTTTCTCCCAAACTGGCAAAATGAAGCAGAGCTAGTTTTTCAGGTGTGGCTCATACTCTTCTAGTAGTAGGTAACTACAGCTGCTCCTTCTGAAAACAGAAGGATGGAGACCTTATGCACAGAGATGTTGCAAACTGCTGGCACAAAGCGTAGCCTGGAGTGAAGAAGTGTGAATCTTGGCTTAAAGTCCAAGGAGTTTGAGTGTCCTTTAGAAGAACTAGTACACCCTAATGTTTACTAAAAGGCTGTTTACAATACTGATGGCTTTTAAACAACCTTGGAGAGACTAAGGATCAGAGTTTTATGGCATGGTGACTTTAAAGCATTCAAGTTGCATTGAAAACAAATGTTTCATCTTAACATACTCCAAAGATTAGAAAATGCATTGAGAAACTTCGCTTGTCTAACTACTGGGGATGTCATTGCCATCAACTACAATGAAAAGGTATAGTATATAACACGAGTCCATGCAGGTTTTTTTGGATACCATTAATTTGAGGAAGTAAATTCTGCCCCATGTAAGAAAGTACACTGTATTTCAGTAGATTGCGACCACATAAGTACTTTGTACATCTTGTGAATAGATTTTTATAGATGAGTGGTTTTGGCAACATGGGCACATTTGATCACTTGGCGTTGTAGACTAAGATCAGTTGTTGGAGTTTGGTGCTAAAACAGTCAGCACAAAGCTGTGCAGTATTGTTGACAAGTAATTCCAGATGGTATATTTTACAATTGATTTTCTGTTGGGAGAGAAGGGGTCAGTTATGTCTTCTCCTGAGCTGCTGTTTAAGAGAAAATAAATCTTTGTGCTGCTGATGTTCATGCAAGTTCTTTTAAAATTTTAATGCTAAATTCATAATTTGCTTCCAAAAATGCAGATTAAGTTATATTAAGAGTGCATCAAGGTACACTAAAAGGTAGGTTCTCTGGCTCCAGCATATAGCAGTCTCCTATCTAGGTTAAAAATCTTTGCTCTCATGTTTTGTAGAGAGCCTGCAATATCCAGTCCTCAATGCGAGGAGCACTTATTTCAGTTTTCTTGAAGCTATCTGAAGTGAAAGGTCTCGCTATGCTCTTCTTACGTAGAATTTGAGCTCTTTCTTGTGCAATCTTAAAATATTCATTACTGTTTCAGATCTATGAGCTTCGGGTAATGGAGACCAAACCGGATAAGGCTGTGTCCATCATAGAATGTGATATGAATGTAAGTTAAAGCTGACATGGAAAGTCAGCTTTTACTGTGTCCTCCCAAAGGAGAGGGCGTCTTTTTCAGTGATCAGTGATAACACTACACCAAGCACCTCTCTGATGCTGCAGCAAAGATAAACTCTGAGATAGGGAAGATGACTGAGTTGAGCGTAACTCATATACCTTTGTAACCACATCTATGGTCTTGAGCTGTACTTCATGTACCATCTGGTGACTGCAGTGCCTAGAATTGAATGTTTAGATTCAATGTGGTTTATAATCTGAGTTATATTTAACAGCTTGGTCTTGATTCAAACTCCAGTGATACTGTGTGGTGCTGGTTTACTGCTCTGTTTCAGTCCCTTGCTAAGACTCATTCCTGGGAGGCTTAGTCTTTTTAGTTCTGAGTTAAAATGTTTAACAAACAAACCTCAGTTATTTATTGATCAAAATGGAGTGATAGTTTGTGGAGTTTTGAGGAATAGTAATATAAAGCTTATGATTAAAAGAAAAATATCAATCATGCTTACTTTCATGCTTCTTATGTAAATAGGTGGATTTTGATGCTCCTTTGGGGTACAAAGAACCAGAAAGAAGTGCTCAACATGAAGAGGCCACAGTAAGTTAAGCTTCTGTTCTTCAAAAATACATTCTCTAGAAATTGGCCTTCCTTGTGATGGAGCCATGAAATCCAACATTTTTATTTTTTTTTTCCCTGAAACAGTTCCTTAAGACTAAACTTTTTTTTACCGGATGCTTTTGCTCGTGTTACTTAGGAGATGGTTGTTTACCAACTGTTGATTTTGGAAATGGATTATTCTAAAGTGTTGTTTCCTCTTAAATATGTGGAACTGTTCTCATGTGTTCCATGTATCACAATGTGAACACAATGAAGTAACTGGGTTTTTTTCCCTCACAGGATGTTGAAGCAGACCATAGTGGATATGTGAGTGACATAGGATTTCGTGTAAGTCCTATATTTCTGCTGATTTCTGAATGTTAGTTGTTCCAAACAACTGCAGAACACTAGTGCCTGTTCTTAGAGGTGCTTCTCATTTAACTGGCAAGTATCTGTGATTGTTGTGTGGTGTTTGCAGGCAGTAGCAGTTGACTTGCTGTCCTTTAAGGAGCAGTCTATAAACAGGAGACTGAAACATACCTACACCCAGTGTTCACCACCTTATTATAAGTACTAAAAAGAAACATGCTGAATCAAAGAATTAAATCAAAATGATAGTAAGATTTTACAGAATATAGTATCGCTGTGCAGTTTTCTTTCAAATACAAAATACAGTTGAAATAAACTCATTATACATACATAGGCATTCTCTGGCTCTGGGAACAGATTGGATGGCAAGAAGAAAGGTGTTGAGCCTAGTCCATCACCAATTAAACCAGGAGACATTCGAAGGTATGTCTGTTTCATTCAGCTGTCAGCAAATGAAGGATCAGTCTTTGAGTGGAGGGTTTTTTTTTTTCTGCTCCTGCAATATAACAAGCTGATTTCCTCAAAAGTTTGCATTTAGAAGATTATTTTCTAGACTGACTGACATCCCTGACTACTTAAGGTGCAGATCCGAAGTTAATGTTGCCAAAACTCTCAGTCAACTCCAGTGCTGTAAAAGATGAGCAGGGAGAGGCAGCAGGTCTAGTTTGGCCTGGTGGGCTGGATTGAGTGATGTGCAGAACCCTGCCAATTTTCTAAAATGAAATTTGTTGTCGAGTGAAATCTTTGTTTGAGTTGGGTGGATAAGCCAAGCTATGTGTGGTTTGGTTTTGTTTTTTCTTAGAAGGAAACTTCTAAACTCAGACTTGGTGGAAGTGTGCAGGGACGTGGTTCCTGTGGTGGTCTGTCATTTACTCCTGTCACAGTAAAACTTGAACCCTTGTGGAAAAACGTGTCCATGGCCCTGTGGAAACCACAAGCTGTGTGGAAACATGCCCACAGCTCAGCTTCTACAGCAGCTCCAGTATCTAATTATTTACTTCCTGCAGTGTGTGCCTACCTTCAGAAAATAATTCAGTGGTTTAACTATAGAATTACTCAGTAATGAAAATTTGCAGCCAGTGATAGTACGATGCTGACAGACATAGAATACATTTCATTGTGTTCCGTTGGATGGTGGGTATAAGATTGGTTTTATTCTTCTTTTCCAGAGGAATACCCAACTATGACTTCAAGATTGGCAGAATCACATTCATTAGAAACTCACGTCCACTAGTTAAGAAAGTCGAAGAGGTAAATAAAATTGGATCCTTCCCAGTTTTTCACAGAATTAGAACTGCTGTCCGAGTTTGTGGTTCCTCTCTCCATACTTGATTTTTCACAGTGACTTCTGTTAAAAAGTGGTAGTAGTTAAAAAGTGTTTGAGTTAGGTGAAAGCAACCTCCAATGTCCTTGCTTGCTGATGTAAAAAGTTTTGCCTGATGTAAGTTTAATAAGCCAGTGCATACTTGTTTCAGTTGGCTGAAAGGTCACTGAAATGCTCATATTTTATTTTCAGGAAGAAAGTGGTTATTATGTAGGTAAGGATGTGAAATATCTACAGTCAGTTGGTGCTCTGATAGAATATTCTTTCTAATGATTGTTCAGCTTTTGTCACACACAACAGTGACCAAAATGGTAACAACCTTTTTCCTCTTTCCTTTTTCCAGGATGAATCTGGAAGCCGGTTTATTGCCTTTTCGGGAGAAGGCCAGTCTCTGCGCAAAAAGGGAAGAAAACCCTAATTTGTGGTACCTTTAGTCAGTTAGGAGGAAGATAAAATAGCAATTGCAGCATATTGGATCTTAGTTATTGCAGCTGAGAGGAGAGATAATTTTGCAACACAGAAATACTTTTACTGGTTTTGGTTTCACATTTAAAACCGGAGCTGTCAGACTGTCTTAATTTTCAGCTGAAAATTTTCAGCTGAAAATTCTAGGAATTCTGAAGGAGCTTATGTATGTGGTGTAAAAAGGGGAAAACTATATCGTGGATAAACCCAAAAGTAAAAACCAACAAGGTCTACCTTACTGCAAGTTCTAGTTCTTAGACTACATGGTCTCCTCATATCCTGAGTGATAATGGTCTTGCATTGCTCTGTGCTTGATTATTTTCCTCCCTCTCTATATATGTATTTTGCCACAACTTCAGGCAAGCCTTTTGGTGTGGTGCAAATGAAGACTAACACTTGGGTGTTGAAGACTTCTGTGCAGGGAATCTGTTTGACCTTAGCTTCAGGTGTTGGGTTATAAGTCATTCTAAGCAATCCCCCTGTAACTGCTTTTTATATTTATAATTAATAACATGCCTTTTAATAGTTCAGGTACAATAGCGTGCTGTAGCAATCTAATGGCACGTGGAGGGAGCGGCTAGACGCCCCTTCTCTGCCTCATGCCGGTGAGGGAGCACAAAGCCCCGGCGTCCTGCGCTTTGGTAGCGGTGTCGGTAACCTGCGCGGCCTCTCGGTGCGGAGCCTTCAGCGGGGTGGTGGGGGGACACCCCTGCGCGCCCTCCTGGAAGGCCGAGTAAAGGCTCCTTGGTACGCAGCCCGCGTCCCTCGTGTGGTGATTTCAGAGCAGCGGCCGGAGCGCGGGGGGTGCCCCGTGT